CCGTGGGGACCGCGAGCAGCCCTGGAGTGGGCAAGGCCTGGGAAATAGAGCCCCAGCCGCTGGGTAAGGGAAAGAGGGGAACGGGCAACCCTTCATCCCCGCTCCCATGCACAATATTTTGACCTCGAGTCTCAAAAATCATTCTAGAATCCAGTCATCATAAAAAGCCGTATCTGAAGCGACACTTCAGGGCGGATTCCATAAATCATCCCTGTCTCTCACACCGGCTGCAGGGTGCCAGCGTCCCCATTTTAGACATGAGGAAGTGTGGACACAAAGGCGTCATGTCACTCTCTGGAGGTCACATAGCCAGTGGGTAGGGCCTGTGCCTAAGTGGGCGAAGCAACGCCAGGGGCCCTGCCGTTCGGGGTGGCATCCGATGAATAGGCAGGGCCAGTGTTACTGACACTGTCATTTTAGAGCGTGAGAAACCAAGAGGTGAGCACTTTCGTCATGATGCTGAGAGAAAGATTAAAATTAAGCCAAAGAGGGCGTCCTGACAGAGGAGGGGGCTCAGAGCCTTTGTTGTCAAGGGGATGGTCCAGCCCAGGTGGGCATTCCCTCAAAGCCTCTCCTCAGCTAGCCCAGACCCCCAGGAAACTTGGCCAGTCCATGAACAAGGACCAGATGGCAGAAACTACACAGAGCTGAGTCCATGGGACACAGCTTCCTACTGTGCAAAGGAGCTGCTCCCAGGTGGTCATGTTCCCCGCATGTTCCCCACTCCTGGGCTGCTCAAGTCAGACTAGAGAGGACCACTCCCAGGGAATGCTGGGATTGGAAGCCCAACAGGTGAGGCTAAGGAAACGGTGCTAGCCCATGCCAAGGACCTGTGATTCTGGGCCCTGCCACTCCACCCCCGTATGTCCATCCTGGGCCAGGGTACAGGGTTCACTTCCCACCTCCAAAGGGACCCCCCCACCCAACCACTACATCCTCCCTTCCTGCACAGTGTTGACCTTGGACAGCTCACAGCCCCAGAGAAGTGAGACCACGAACCCCTGAGCCTGCCCTAAAGCAAGTACACTTACCTGAGGCCAGCCAGCTGGTGGGGGGGCCCCGGTGATTGGTGTCATGAGCCGGGGACCCCACCATGTCCTTCTCCATCACCACCTCGAAATTGAGGATGAACATGATGACAGCCCCATCCTCGTTCTTCACGGGCACCACATCCACCAGACATAGGAAGCAGCTCCCTGTGGAGTGGGAGAACATAGTCCCCTTGGCACCCTCTCAGTGGGCAGAGCAGAAAGCCTGGAGCCCAAGCGGACCCTTCCACTTCTGCCTCCCCATATGGCCCTTCCTCTCCAGGATCTCCCATTCTGATCCCCCACCCGGCCATGTGCCTGCCACCCTTATGGCTCCCCTCAATCTGTCTGCCCCAGCTTGTTGCTACTGGACTCCCCTACCCCTCTCTCTGCCTGTGTGATTTATCTAGCTCTTTCCCAGGTGCACCTTCTCTCATGCTGGCTATGATCCTTCTTCCCCTCTTTGATCTCATTTCCTCCCTATCTCATTTCCTCATATCCTCCCAGCACCTCTGCCTTTCCCTCACGTGAGGCGCTGTAGCACAGTGCTTAAGTCCACAGACTTAAGGCCTACGATCTCTGGGTTCATAGCCCAGATCTGCTACTTAATCACTTATGCATTTTTTCCTAAATTATTTAACATCCCTGTGCCTCATTTTTTCTATCTATAAAATGGGAAGAATAATAATTTTTAAAAAAAAATTTTTTTAACTTTTTAATTGATACAATAATTGTACATATTTATGGGGTACACAATGATGTTGCGATACACATAGTGTATATAATTCTTTTCTCATGAGTTATAAAGATTAACCAAGTCAGCACATGCTGAGTGCTTAGGCAATGCCTGGCGTATGCTGCACACTACAGACGGTTAGCTGTTACTATCTGTCTCTGTCTCTGTTCTCTCTAGATTAGCACCAGCCGTTGTGTCAGCACACAAGATAAGGACAGACGTTGAAAGCAAGAGTTTCAAAAACTTTACAGCAATTTGGCATCGCCATAATATCCACGCATGTGCTCTTGTATTTCACAGATGTACCAGCCTATAACATATTAGCATTAAAGAAAACTGATCCTTCACCAAAGAGTCTAAGAAGCACTGCTTCTATATCTTTCATCTTCGCCTCGCCTCGCATTTCTCTTGATCTTTGATTTTTTCTTTTCTAGTCTCTCTCTGTCCACCAAAGGACCTGTACCAGATGAGGTCAGTCCCCGAGGCCAAGTGCACCTGGTCTCCCTCAGCTCCCTGTTGAGCACATGGGCCCCACGCCCTCCCGAGCCAATTTCTGAAGGAGCCCCTTTTAGGCCAAGCACTCAGTTCCACCTAAGGCCAAGCTCAGAACCTCCCGCTCGCAGGAAGTCCTTAATGAAACCAGAAGGCAGTTAACATCCCGCTCCAGCTCCTCTATGGCCCCCCAGGGACCCACCAGGCAGGCTCCTCATCTCCCACCCTCCCTAGGGAGCCTCTTCCTTCCTCTCGGCTCCCCCTCTGCTCAGCTGTCTTCTCTGCCTCCCAGTGTCTCCCGTCCCCACCGAAGTGCCTAATGCCTAGAGTCATAGGCCCTGGGGCCAGCACTGGCTGGTGGTGTCAGTGACAGGCCATGCTGACAGGGAGGCTGCAGGCATGGGGGAGAGGCGAGGGTGACGAACCATGCAGTCCCGCTCCATCTTAGCAACCCAGCCTCCCTTTTTTTTTTTTTTTTTTTTTTTTTTATGGCGTTTTTTTGAGATGGCGTTTCAGGCTGGCGCCCAGGGTGGAGTGCAGCGGCATGATCCTGGCTCACTGCAACCTCTGCCTCCCAGGTCCAAGCGATTCTCCTGCCTCAGCCTCCCAAGTAGCTGGGACTACAGCTGCAGGCTACCATGCCCAGTTGACTTTTGTATATTTTGATAGAGACGGGGTTTTCACTGTGTTGGTCTCGAACTCCTGGCCTCAAGTGATCTGCCCGCCTCAGCCTCCCAAACTGCGAGGATTACAGGTGTGAGCCACCATACCCAGCCTCTCCTCACCTTTCCACCTCCCAGAACCTCCCTGGCTCACCCCTACTCCTGATCTCAAACCCACAGCAGGGGCGATGGTCGTGGTGCTATGAGTCAAGGGAGAGGCCAGCAACAGAGGCCGGCAACCTGGAGGCGGCGCCACCCCTGGGACTTGGAGCTGGTGCTTGAAGCCTGTCAGTGAGGCCAAGGGGCTGTGTGCTGGGGAGGCAGGGAGCAGGCCAGGTGGGAAGGGCCTGATGCACAGCAGATGCTGGCCAGGCCCAGGGATTCTAACCAGCTGGGGATTCATCTCGGGAAACGAGGTCCTCTGAAACCAGCTTAAACAGCATGGCACTAGGTGAAGGGGCTCTCTGCCCCACCCCACAGCCCTTCCACTCACCACATCCCAGACCCTCACAGCTCTGCCCAAGGGCCCTGAGCTCCGGGGCTCTGTCTGGGTCTCCCTGCAGCAGCCACTCTTGTCCCCTGACCTCCGGCCTCTGACACACAGCTGTGGTGCTGGAAGCTGCAGGGGGCTGGGCCCAGCTGGAGACCATTTGGCACCCAGACAGCCTGCCTGGAGTTTATGCCCTAATATGGTGATGGCCGGCAGCGGCCTGAACAGGGATGCGCCTCACCAGGACTGAAGAGAGGCCGGAGACCAGGGAGCCTTAGCCCTGGAGACCCAGCACCCACCCCAGGGACCACAGCCAGCCAGGCCCTCGAACCTAAGTCCTCACCAGGGAGCTTGCCTCAGAGAAACCTAGAGTCTGGAGCCAAGATGAACCCAACCTTCAGAATAGGCTGGAGGCTCTGTCCCCAGCACAGGGCCCCGGAAATTCCAACCTTGAGACCTCAGCACCCCGTCCCCTCTTCAGCTCAAGCTGCTCAGCAAGAGAGCCCAGAATGGCATTCTGAAGCCCACCCGGTCCCGGACCCCACATCTCAAAACCCCTCGCCAGGGTCACAGAAACTCTAGGTATATACCACCTTGCAGCACAAGCCTGTGCCTCACACTTAAACACATGAGAGAGAGAGAGAGAGAGAGAGAGAGAGAGAGAGAGAGAGGAGTGTCTGTTGGTCCTCTTCCTTTGTCGAGATTCAAGAAATTTTTCCTTTCAAAATAACCCTGTCAAAGGCCTGGTTATTCCAAAAATGTGAATTGGAGCCCTGCCCGAAGGCAGGGGCCAAGGCGGGGGAGATCTAGCGATCGTGAAGGGGATGTGGAAGGAAGGAAAGTGGGGCCCCAGATAGGCCTGGGCTCTTGGAGGCATTGCCTCTGACCACCCTGCCGGGTCGGCTGGGGCTTCTGTGAACTGCCACATCACCTGCTCCCAGCTCTTCAGCCAGGCCTCCCAGCCAGACGCCATCCCACCACTGGCTGGGTTATGGGGGGGTGGGAGTGCCTTCACTTGCCCCGGTGCCCACCTACTCCAGACCCCTAGGCCCTCGCTCTGCTCCCTTCTCCCTCCTACTCGCCCTGGCTCCTGCCAGTGGCTCAGCTCCCCAGGACAGAGAGGAAGGACCCAGCTGCTGCAGGCTGCAGTTCCGCTGAGAGCCACTCCGTGGCAGGCATAGCCCACACTCCCGAGGCAGCCAGCACTGGAGCACTCAGGGGGCAGCCAGGACAGACAAGGAGGGTGGAGGGGGTGCAACAGGGGAGAGAGTTCCCAGTCTCAAAGGGAGGGGGCATGGGCTGTGGAGTCAGGTGGCCTCTGCACATTGCGTTAGAATGACTTTGGGCCAGTCACTTACCAGCCCAGAGCCCCCAGGCGCTCATCTGCAACACAGGGTGATCCTGCCCACCCCCCAGGGCTGTGGGGGTGAAACGGCCTAAGATATGTGAAGCTCAGAGCCTGACTTGAGGTCTCCATAAGCTTGAGACAGAAGAGAGGCAAACAAGGGTGGAAGAAGCTTAGCAATGAGAGGCCCCAGGGCCAGCCTGGCTCATGTGGCTGATGCCAGAATACTCTGCCCTGACCCCACTCCCACCCCAGCCCCAGCCCCAACCCCACTCCCACCCCAGCCTCAGCCCCAGAGCTGGCTGAAGACACCTCACTTTGGGTGAGAAGGTACCCCCTGCCTGGCCCAGACCTGTTTCCTGGGCCCTCTGAAAGGGGAGGCACCCATGGACGCAACCATCCCTGCATAGGCTCCATGGTTCCTTAGAACCCCCATGCCTTTGGGCCCAATGGCCCAGGTGAGGCAGGCAGGCCAACCACCCAGCAGGCCTCCAGAGGCCATGCAGCTCAGTGCAGAGCAGGAGAGCCAGGCCTGGACACATCCCGGAGCGGCAGGTACAGCGCCATCCTGCTGCCACAGAAGGTGACCATTATTTCTCAGAACACAACGCCGACTTGCTTTCATTTGGTGCCAATCCACACCCAGCAATCTACCTGGGGTGGGGGGCACTGTCCCTGCCCAGCATCCCAACCCATCTGAGGTCAGGGGCTCCACCCAATTCCCTACCTCTGGGCACCACTGGCCTAGACCAGGGCCCAGGCAGGAGCCACACTTGGCTGTGGCAGGGGACAGGCCTTATCTCCCATGTCAGCACCAGGTGGGGAAAAAGAGGCTGCAGATGGCCCTGAGTGGCCTTGGGCACCTTCTGGGGTCAGAGTCTCCATGCGCTCCTCTGTAAATGAGGTGTCATCACAGCTTCTTCCCAGGCAGCTTCTCCCAGCCCTCTGCAAATCACTGAGCACATCCATGCACGCGAAGTGTTGAGCCACCATGACCAACAAGACACGCCTGGCACCTGCCCCCAGTGAACTGTCCATCCAACAGGACCCCAGTTCGATGCATGGGGCAAGAGGGAAGAAGAGGGAACAAGCCAGACAGGTGGAGAAGCCCCGGGGAGCCAAGCCACTCTGCCCCAGCCATGGTGGCTCCTGGGCTCCCTCTATTTTGCTCTGGCTGTAGGCAGGTCAGCCACCTCCCTGAGCTTCAGGCTCCCTGCGGGTACTGTGGGGACAAGTGATTCCTGCACTGGGTGCCAGATGAGATGACAGATGGCTTTGTGGAAGCATCCAGAACTCTAACAAGGCGGGGTGCTGGGTCCCTGCAGGGAAGGTGACCTCAGGGAGGCAGCCATCCTCAACCTGGTCACCTCCCTGCCTCGCTCGGAGCAGGAGGAGCTGTGCCCAGGACAGGCCCAAAGTCACGCTGAGGGCAGGAGGCTGGGG